GAAGGGAGAAGGGAAGTTAAACACAAAAGAATCATTACCAACATGAGCTGAATTCCACTAGGGAACTCTGGAAAACAGGGTATTACCCAAATCTCAGAGTTATCCCATCTAAAGAGTGAGGACAATAAGAGACAAATAGATTCTTGGAATGCAATCAATAACCTTTTTCCCCACTAAAAATAAAAGTAAGATCCCTATCTTGTCAAAAATGTGTGGGAAGTGCCCACCCCTTACTCCCCCAGCCCCCAGTAGCCCTCGAACTCACTGAGACCCACCTGCTTCTGCCCCAGGGCGTGCTTGGATTAAAGCTGTGCCACCACTCCTGGCTGCATCCAAGTAATCTTTATGTTCTTATTCTTCCTCTTATTGCAGAGACAAAACCTGTAGGTGCAGGTACCTGATTTCCTGAAGATGAACTGACCACTAATCCCTATCTTAGATAAGAAAGTTCTTATTTTTTGAGTGTATGCATGTGTGTGTGTGTGATATGTGCACATTTATATGTGTGTGAGCACATGTGTGGGAGTACATATGCACATGTGTGGGAATGTGAGTCAAGGCCCGAGGTTATGTTAGGTGTCTTCCTCAATCGTCCTTTACCTTGTATTTAGAGTTTGAAAAGTTGTCTTAGGCAGGATATAAGATGTACTAAGGGAAAAAAAAACCTAACAAAGTTAAATATATTTTCTGTTTGCCAGACATTGAGAAAATGAAAAGGCAACTGAGGGAATAAGAAAATACTTTGTACATAAATAACAGAAGACTGGTATCTAGAATATATAAAGAGCTTCTATAAATCAATGATGATGTAAGATTTAAAAGGATTTTCAACATAAGACACACAAAGGACCAACAAGCCATTTGAAATAGGGTTCAAAATCATTCTTTATCAAGGAAGTGCAAATTAAAATTACAATAAGAAGCTACCATGCACACACTAGAGTAGCTAAAACTAAATACAACAAGGCAAACGTTGACAGGAGGCAGGAGGATCACTTTGAGTTTGACAAAGTTGAAAAGAACTGGAGCCTTTCTGGGTTTTGGCTGAGGTACAAAATGGTACAACCACCACTGAGAACTCTGGCAGTTTTTCATAGTCAAACATACATATTTCTTGGACCCAGCAATTTCATCACTAGGAATTTATTGAAGAAAATAACAGCACATACCTATAAAAATGACTTCTGTAAGAATATCCATAACTTTTTTCCCCCCATAATAACTTCTTTTAAAAAAACAACCAACAGGTGAAGAATAAGCAAAATATGAATGAGGCATATCACTCAGGGGTAGATGCTTATCTAGCATGTATGAGACCCAGGGTTCAGTCCCCACAGTACTGAAAAAATAAAAAGAGGAAATTGTGAACTAGTCACACAATAGAATATTATTCAGCACTAAAAAGGAGTAAACTATTGATAAGGCTGAAAAATAAAATTACATTGAATGAAAGAAGCAGCTATAAGTCAAAAGCTTGGTAGTGCATGCCTGTGATAATAGCATTTGGAAGGCAGAGGCAGTGGGATCAGAAGTTCAAGGTTATCATTGACAGAGGTCAGCTTCAGTTATTTGCAACTCTAACAACAACAAAAACCCAGATATAATGAATACATGGTTTCATGTAGAGTCCTGGGACAGAAAAGCCAAGCTATAGCGACAAAATTTAGACAAGACCAGTTGTGATTCTGTGAGGTAGACATTAACTGGAAAGAGGAAGGCATTTAGAAGTTTCAGAAATGTTTTATATCTTGTTTTGGGTAGTTACATGAGTGTTCATGGTTTTAAAAACTCACTGAATTGGCTGGGTGTGGTGGTGCACATCTTTAATCTCAATATGGACATAGAGGCAGGAGGATCACTTTGAGTTTGAGGCTAGCCTGGTCTACATAGCAAGTTTCAGGCTAGCCAGAGCCACATATTGAGACCATTTCTCAAAACAAAAACAAACAAACCAAACTAAAACAGACTCACTTAACTGAATATTTGAGATCTGTGCTTTTATTGTATAAAATTATACCTTTATATGGCGCACGCCTGTAGTCCCAGCACTTGGGAGGCAGAGGCAGGTGGATCTCTGTGAGTTCAAGGCCAGCCTGGTCTACATAGTGAGTTCCAGGACAGCTGGGGCTACAGGGAGACTCTGCTTCAAAAAGACAAAAAAAAAAAAATATACCTTTAAAAACATTTCAAGGGGCTGGAGAGATGGCTTAGCAGTTAAGAGCACTGGCTGCTTTTGCAGAAGGGCCCAAACTGAGTTCCCAGCACCCATATGGCAGCTAATAACTGTCCTTAACTCCAGTTCCAGGGGATCAGGGGATTGGACACCTTCTTTTGGTCTCCATGGGCATTGCATGACACATACAGGCAGGGAAAACACTCATACACATAAGATAAATAAGTAAATAAATAATTTAAATAAAAGCATTTCAGCTTCATCTTTGAAAAAGAAAACACACTGGCTGTTAAAAACACTGAATAGTTCTGCTCCCCCACAAGAGTGCAAGCCTTAGGAGGGTACAAGCTTGATGGGTTTGACTCTGCGGCATTCCCCATACCTCCTTCAGTGCCTGGGTCCCCTGGGTGTTCAAGTCACTCCCATTAATATTGTTTAAGTCTGTGCAAGCTTCCATGCATTGAGCTGCAGCTTTATCGTATTTCCCTCTGCAGGCGTGACCTGCTCTTGGCAGATGCCGGTAGCCCTAGAAGCTCAAGTGCGGTGTATTGTCTAGGAAGAGAGCTTGCAGGTGGGAACCCAGCAGGGCCCTGGGTGTCCTTGGGCACTGACAGGGTCCCAACTGTGAGCACCATCTGCTCCTGTGATGGGTATCTGACAGCAGCTGCAGTCCTGAACCTGGAAGGTGAGTGCCTCTGAGACCCAATGTCAGGCTTCTGTTCCCATCCTCCGTTCCTGTAGCAAGCCCATGGAAAGTCACTTTAACCCTAAAACAGAAAGGACCAACATGTATATTGCTTTACAGTTTACCAAGTGTTCCCATATGTTCTTATTTCATCTTGTCAATGACCCTGTAAGAGTTGTTTAAGTGGCACTGTTTTACAGAGAGGTTGAATGACTTCCCTAACATCACACAGCTGGCAAGTTATCAACCAGGGATTCAAACCAAGCTTTTAGCTATTTACTACTTTATTAAGCGAAGTACAGCTGTGTCATTTAGGGACCTTCAGAAGCAGTTTCTGACACCTGACCTTTCAGTAAGTTTTACTGGATGAATGAAAAGATAAGTAACAAATCCCACTTTCCTTTAATTCAATTTATTCCATATGCTCCGGAGAGATTAACCTGCCTGGACCACCTTTGGGATAGTGTAAATCCATTATGCAAACTTACCACATTCCCCACCACCTGCCAAGTAAAATCCACACTGCTTAGTGGCTGTTGGGCGCTCTTCTGCCCCAACTAGCCTCTGTAGCCCCATTTTCCTTGAACCATGGCTTTGTATTCTAGCTAGGTCTGTCATTTCCTTATCTCTGCATCTTTGACCCTTAACACTGCCCCCCTCCCACCCCATACGCACATCACTGGATTCCAGTTTCCTCATTCCTCCTTGGGAAACTTTCTCACCTTTCAAGCTCTAAGTCAAAGGTTACCACCACTTCCTCCTCATGAACTTTTCACAATTAATCTAAACTCTGAGATGACATGGCACTAACTGTCAGGTATATGTGCCTGACTCCTGACTTGACAAAGACTATATACTTAAATTCTTTGTAAGTGGGGTTGGGACATGGAGAGCCTGGACAGTCCACAGTTCTACTTTGGTTCTGCCATTCACTGGCCACGTAATTTAGCAAATTGGGCTTATTTGTGCCTGGCTTCAATTTCCTTATTAGATCCTGGAGTCCCAGAGGCTAGATGCGCATGCAGCTTACCTGTTTCTGTAACCAGATGCTGACTTACATAGTTTTTTGGCACACTGCAGATAATAGATGCTTCATAGTGAACAAATCACCACCTTCCAACCATTCTGTATAAATTTTCATTGGTATGCAAATTTAAAAATTGTTTGCATTGGACCAGGTGTGATGGCTTTTGGCTGTAATCCGAACACTCAGAAGGCTAAGGCAGGAGGATCACCACAGGTTTAAGGCCAGCCTAGGCTACAGAATGAGATTCTATCTCAAAATAAAAAAAGCAAAAACAAACAAAAATTAAAAATGGAAGTTTGCATTTTCTTTCTTTCTGTTTGGTTAGCATAGACTCCACCCCCTGTATACATTGCTTCTAACTTGACATAGACTGAATAAATATTTAAATTCTTTGCAAGTGGGGCTGACACATGGAGAGACTGTGGAGTCCACAGCTTTACTTTGGCTCTGCCATTCACTAGCTATGTAACCTTAGATAAATCACACCTGCTCTCCAGACCTTATTTTGCCACCATCAATTCCATAGGGGTAATAACCCCTGTTGTGCTTCTTTAATTCAACACAAGGTTGTTGGGAGGATAAATGAACTAACAGATGTGGAAATGTTTTGCTGGCTATAAATCACTGAGAAATGCCGTTTGTCTGCACCTGCTGTTTGATGGCACCGTTTGCTGTTTCACAGCCCCCTACCCATCTGATCCTCTCCTCTGAAGAATGGGCAGCTGGAGGGAGCACGAGATGATGAGAAAGTAGCCATGTTTGCTCAGTGGTCTTTGGGACTAGGGGCTACGTTGTGGAGGGTTTGAGGGAGGGTGCAAGAAGTCAACATGGCGAGGATGGAAAGCCACGTGAGTCGCCAGCCCAGGAGACGGCCTGGTCCCAGGGTGCAGCAGTTAGTCTGGGAAGTTTCCCAAGGCTCAGAGCTGATGGACGATGACTTGGTCCTTGAGGGAAGGTGAGGGCTCCGAGTTTCCTGACAACCCCACTTCCAGGTAGAAGTTGAGACGACGCCTATTGGGTGCCCCAGGTCACAAGACCTGACTGTGAGGGGTCAGGCGCTTCCTGCAGCCACATCCTCCACTTCCGCAGACGGCAGGGCGGGCTTTGCTCCCTGATTGGTACGGTGTGGCTGTCCCGCGTGGTGGACCCAACATGGCTGAGGTGGGAAAGGAGGTTGCGGGCCTCGGGCTCCTAGGAGAAGTCTCCCAGTGGCCTCTCAAGCGGTACGGCCGCTTCATGCTCTCGGGTACCGAGGAGTTGCCTGAGCCTAGCCTGGAAGCTGCGACAGCGACAGCGACCGCCCACACATGGAAGGTGAGGCTTGAGGATGGGAAGACGCCACATCCCAGGGAGGGAGGGAAGCCCACACCAGAGGCCACAGTGGCCTAGTGCTGAGGACATAGGACTAGACACCCCCCCACACACTGCATAGAGGACATAGGGTAGTTACCCCTCCAATGCATCAAGGACATAGGTAGTTCCCCCCCATTGCCTCGAGGATGTGGGCTAATGCTCCCCCATTGAAACAAGGACATAGGGCTACTGTCACTGCTTGCCTCCCCCGCGCCCCCTCCATTGCGGGGAGTACATAGGGCCAGTGTCCCACCCCCACACCACTGCCACAGGACAGGAGGAGAGGATACCTGGGGCCACCTGCAAGTGAAAGAATGGGCAGGTGACCACTAACACAGGAAATGTATGTATGTGTATGAGTAGGCATTGAAGGCCAAATCGGAACTCATTTCACTCTCAAAATAATTAAAAAAGGGTGAGGTAAGCATTCATATATTCAAGCTGGATGTCGTGGGGTGCACCCCTTTAATCCTAGCACTTGGGAGGCAGAGGCAGATGGATCTTTGTGAGTTCGAGGCCAGCCTGGTCTACATAGTGAATTCCAAGCCAGGTGAGGCTACAGGGAGACCCTGTCCCCAAAAGACCGAAAAAACAAATCAAAACAAGACACATTCATATATTCAACAGTTACTACTTACTGAGCACCGTTTTCTAATATGTTCTAAACTTGGTTCAGTGTGCTAGGGATTTAGCATGTACCAACGTCTAAATGGTCCCTGCTCTCATGGTTAGTTTATTTTCTTATGATGCTTGGGACCTGACCAAGTGCTCACCCCTTGAGCTATTGTCCTGCCCCTAGCCTCATTGATGTTTTTGGTCTCATGGAAAACTAGTATTTACCTAAATAACCATGTAAATTATGGCAGGTATAAGTTGTCCTTAGCTAAATTGTCATGCTTTTTGGAGTCAAGCATCCACACAAGACAACTTGAATTCTAGCTGTTTTTATTGTGGTGGTAGGGATTAAACCAGGGCCTATTGTATGCTAAGCATGTGCTTTACCACTGAGCTACATTGAAATCCCTAGAATCTACCTTTGACTGAATTTTCATGATCTTGATTAAGCTACTTAGCTTTTCTGACTCTTATTTAACATAAAATAGAAATACCATAATGTTTTCCTAAAATAATTATTATAGAGACAAAACAAAAATAACAATCTTACTTCATAGGATATGTTAATTTTGTTCAATACTACATATTAAATCACCTAAAATAATGCCTGGTACATGTTAAGTTATATAAGGCTTAGCTTTTATTTTGTTTTGTGGTATGTTTTGAACAACTTGGGTTATTGGTCATTGAGTTCCTTTAGTCTAGTTTGACTATTTGATGTAGATCCTGTGGATTTTGGATTATGCACATACATACATGTGTTGTTTGTGTTTTGGATAGCCATAGGTAAGAACAAAGAGAACAAATATTCCAGGTGGAAGGCAGAACATGTAAAAGGTTCCACACCTGGAGAAGTCTCAGCATGTCTAAATACTTAGAAGGCCAGTAAGGTTGATGCTTGCGAACCAGGGGAATAATATGAGGTGAGGCTGTCAGAGGAGGAAGTCAGGTGTTTTGTGAAAATTATTCGAAAAACTCACAGGAAGCTACTGAAAGGCTTTAAGTATTTTCATCTTTCACAGATCACTCTGTTTATGTAGGTGGAATTAGAGGACAGTACAAAAAGATTTAGGAAGATCACTTACTCTTGCCATGTAGACCAGAGATAATAATGCCTTAGACCTGGGCTGTGCCAGTAGAGATGGGGAAATGGGACATATATTTTGGAGGACAGAAATGACAGGGCATGGTGATTGATTGAATATGAGTGGTGAGAGTAAAGGAATTGGGTTTCTGGCAGAAGCAACTAGGTAGACGATGCAGAAACAGGGAAAATTCTAAGACTTCAGTTTCGGGTGTATTAAGCTTAATATGCATATGAAACACCCAAATGTACTCAGGTGTGTGTACTGTTCTGGACTCAGAAGGCAGATCTGGGCTGGAGAACTGAAGGTATGAGTCCTCAGCATGAATGTGATACAGTCGTGAGATTTCAGGATCAAGCCCCAAGGTAGTGCAAGAACTGTAGGTCAGAGGGAAGCCTCAAAGATTGACAAGGGCCAGAGAGTCGTGAAGTGCCTAGGAGAAAGAAGACTTATTAGTGGTAGAGGAGAGTTATTTCAAGAGGGGGAGAATGATTGATTAACCTTGCTGAATGATGGCGCCAAGTAAAGAAAAATAATGACTGAGGGGTGGTCATTGTACTTAGCAGCATGAAGATCCTTCATGATCTTTACAAAGAAGAGTTTGAGTGGAGTGAAGGGCATGGAAGCCAGCGAGGAGTGGATTGAAAGGTGACTGATAGGTGAGGAAATACAGCCAAGTGCAGATTTTGAGAGCCTTGGATGGGAATGTGAATAGAAATAGTACATGGTGAATTATTTATTACGTTTTAGAATACTAGCGTAAAGGGTGCTCTAAAGCTTGAAATCAATATATTTAGGCCCATTTTAAAAAGCATTAAATACCTTGTTATGCTCTTGTGGAAGTCTACATCCTCAAAAATTACATAGGCTGAAAATGCAAAATGGGGTGAGAAAAGAGTTAAATTCAAGGATGACAGATCTATAATTGGATCTTATAAAAAGCTGGGGATGTTGAGGACATACTTAACTTTGGTGCCTGCTCCAATAGTTCCTTGATGATTTCTCGGAACAACACTTTAACCCCTCTTAGTCCTTTTCTCCATGTTGGCACATGGGCTCACAGGCAGCTGGGTAACTCTTTATCGCAACCCAGAGGCCCCATTGGGCATTTGACTATTTTATGATGTTGATTGTTATTAAAATTTTTCTCTTCTCTATGCAAAGCTCTTCATAGTTGCTTATAAGGAACAGTACTTTCCAACAGTTTTCAATGTTTGGCATAAAGCCATGGCCACAGTGACAGATGAGGTTGGCTTTTGCAGGGCTTTTGAAAATGAAACATTTGTACCTTGCTTTGAATCTGTGTGGAACCTACTGTGATCAGTTTCTGTCTTAAAAAGAAAAAGAGAGAATAAGATTTGTTCTATTTTATGGAGCCTGTGACTATTGTATAATAATAATAAATAATAATAATAAAAGATGAGCCTTCTAAAGAACTGTACATGCTAAGTCTCGTGCATTTTTTTATTTTAAAAACGCGGTACCTGTGGTAAAAATATATGGTAGGTGAAACACAAAAATGTATTAGGTAAAATCATTCCGGTAGTTTTTCCCCACCTATGGAATGTTCATATTCAACCATGGATAAATGCACTTTGATTTTTTTTTTCATTTTTTCCCAAACTATGTATGGAGACTGTTCTCTTGGTTCCATACCGTACAGTGATTTAGTTGCAAAGATGCTCATCACAGTAACTACATGCTAAGACAAAAATGTCATCCCAAGAGAAAAATAAATAGTACAAGACTTGAAGTCCTAGTTGAGAGGCAAGGTCAAGTCGAGACCTAAAGATTATTGTATATAGAGAATGTCTAACATGCTGATACAGTTTACTTCTCAGAACTGTTCTTATTAGATGCCACACAATTTGGAAGCAAATAAACTTTTTGTAACAGTGAACAAACAAAACAAAATCCAAGACCTACAACAGTTTACAGCCGTTACTCAGGCTTTACTGTTCATAGAACTCGAGATTTTGTCAAAGCGGAAATTCTGACTCAATCAGAGTAGATTTGGTACCGAGAATGAGGTTCTGTAGCCCTAATAAGCTCCCAGGGGACACTGATGCTGCTGATTTGAGGAACCGCTTTGAGAGGCAAGGGTTTAGAAGACCTTGAGTGAAGTGAGCAGCCATGTAGTAAAATTAATAAAATGAGGTTATGGAGGTATGAAGATGCAGATATTAATAGGGTTAATATTTAAGCCATCTGTCATCATTTAAGTGGAATGAGAAAATGAAATACAAACTTGAACTTGATTTTAGTTCCTTATATCTATTGGCCCAACCTTTCTGAAAAAATTATCATAATAGATTGGGCCATTTTATATCTGAATATAATTTAGTCTATTAATTTGAGAAGTTTGAAAGGTGATGTTAATTTTTGAGACAGGGTCTCTCTGTAGCCCCAGCTGTCCTCTGCCTCCCGAGTGCTGGGACCAAAGGCATGCGCCACCATGCCCGGCCTGCAGGTTGCTTTTAAATTAATGTTTTACCATGTTTTTCAGATTCTAAATATTTCTCAAACATACCCTAATTGGTTGAACCTGACAACTTCTTAGATTTTTTTTTTCCTTTCAAAGGAAAAAAATATTATCCTTTAATTTTTGTAGGAGGAACTTAAAATAATTGCCCTACTTAGAAATTAAGAAATAAAATATGAAGTTTGTACTTGAACTTTTTTTTTTTTTTTGGTCTTTTTTGAAGCAGGGTGTCCCTGTAGCCCCAGCTGTCCTGGAACTCACTATATAGACCAGGCTGGCCTTGAACTCACAGAGATCCACCTGCCTCTGCCTCCCAGGTGCTGGGACTACAGGCGTGTGCCACCATGCCCGGTTTGAAGTGAACTTTTAATGTGGGTTTAATATACTTTGAGGTCTTTTTTTCCTATCTTTAGCCCCTCCATACTCCCCACTATACAATAGATACTTAGTAATGTTTGGTTGAACCTATGGCATGGTAACTTTTTTTTGTTGTTTTTTTACAAAAATGTGATGTTATGAATGATAGCTATATTGGTTTATTTTGGTATTTTTTAAAGCAGCCCTATGAAGCAAATATTATACCCATTTAAAGATAAATCAACTGAAATATAGAAATAGTCTTTGGCTTTTCCAAGAACTCAGAAATAAGTTGGGAAGAAAGAATTCTTTTTTGTTTGTTTTTTTGTTTTTTTGTTTTTTTTTTTGAGACAGGGTCTCTCTGTAGCCCCAGCTGGCCTGGAACTCACTGTGTAGACCAGGCTGACCTCAAACTCAAAGAG